TAACTTAGCTTAAAGAGATTAACCACCCTTTAGAAACAATGTATATATTCAACATATTTAGCAGTCAAAATTTGCATTTACTTGAAGGTCTATGGAATTTATTTAATGCCTTTGTTTCTTTTTAGTATACAGAAAATAAAGGCTGAAAACTAACTCCTACCTTAAAAATATTCTTCAGAGATTTCCTCAAAATCTCTAGCTTGTAAGAAAAACAGCTTGACATTTTAACAGAATATAGCCTGCACATGTGGCAACTGCCTCATAAATAATAAATATGCTACTTTCTTTTTGTGTGTGTGGTCACTAACTCTGTTGCACAGGAAGTTACATACTTTTATATCTAAAATGAAAATCCATAAAAAAACACTGAAAGGCAGAGTATGTCTTAAATGAGTTGGTTTCAAAAGCTTTTCTTGGTTTCAAAAGCTTTTCTTATTTCTCTTTCACAGAGATCTGAAAAATTAAAATTAGCATTTGAAAGTATTCAAAAATTGTTTAAATTGTTGTTTAGTTGTTGTGTTCTACAGGTGCAGTTCTGAATAAATAAACTTACCACCTGCTATGTCTCAATCTTGACCAATTTGCAATTATACTAACCAAAAAATGAAATACCTTTGACTTCACAAATTAATAGGACTTTCTTTTGGATGGAAAAACTTTTAAACATAAAATCTATTTTGGTAAACAAACTCAAACAGGTCACTCACTATTTTATACTAATATTAAACTATTTATAAAAAGCTATTAATGGGACTTACAGTATTAGAAAGGAATAAAATAAAAGTCATTCAGTCAATATTTGTCTTCAGTATGTGAATGACGAGAATAGGTGTTGGGGATAGCCAAATGTGTAATACATTCCAACCAGGAGAAATTTATATCCTAGCAGAACACATAAAGTATAACTACTCCAGAGTATGATGAAATGCGAGAGCAAAAGTGGACATAAATGGACAAGGAGTCATGACAGTATGAAAACAACAGTTCTGCCTCCACTTGGCTGTAGGCTCCACGAAGACAGGGTTCATGTTTGTTCTATCACTGGTGGGTTATTACTAGCTCATAATATACTGTCAGGCACATGTTAGATGTTCAACATTTGTTGGCTAAAAATAGAGGGAAGGCTTCACACAGGAGGTGACAAAAGAGATGAGCAAAAAACCGTTACGTAGAAGTGACACAGACAAAAAAGATGGGAAAGAGCATTACATGCAGAAGGAACAAATTAACTACTACTATACACCCACCTTTCACCAATTGACCTTAATGCAGATAACGTTTTCTATAAACAACCTTTACCTAGCTAAAAATTTCCTAAATGAATAAATATCAAGGTGTCTCCAGTATCCACAGGACACCATAAATAAGGTTTTGAGTATGTAAGCCCTGATTATCAGTACGAATAACACCAAACATAATAGCTGCAAAAATAATTTATAGCTAAATATAAAAATGGAATAAAACATATTTTAACCACATACCAGCTTACGTCAAATTTAATAAAACTCAATTTGAAAAGTAATTTATAAGATTTAACTTAATAAACTATATGAGCTAAAAACAGGGGAAAAAAAATTTTATTCCAAAAAAATATCCCTGGCCCTGGCTGGCGTGCCTCAGTGGACTGAGTGCCGGCCTGTGAATAAAAGGGTTGCCGGTTTAATTCCCAGTCAGAGCACATGCCTGGGTTGTGGGCCAGGTCCCCATGTGGGGGCATGCCAGAGGAAACAGCTCAGTGTATCTCTCACACACCAATGTTTCTCTCCCTCTCTTTCGCCCTTCCCTTCCCATCTGTCTAAAAAATAAATAAATAAAATATTTAAATAAAAAAAGAAATATCACAAAGGCAGTATTAAACTAAGTCTGATACATTATATTATACCAAGTTCTGAATGTGTGACATTTTGAGTCATGCCTTAGGTCAATAATAAATATGAGCTGTTGGTTTGCTCAACCTTCTATGGGCTAACAAATATTTTCTTAAAGGGTCAGAGATAGCAAACATTTTAGGCTGTGGGCCACATGCTCTCTGCCACAACTGTTTATCTCATCTGTTGTAGCATGAAAGCAGACATAAACAATACATGAATGAATGGGTGTTGCAGGGTTCTACTAAATCTTTATTTATATAAACAGGTGGCTGGCCCATGACCATTTTTTGCCAACCCCAGTTCCAGCGTCTCAAAGTGACTTCTCAGCAATTCTTTTTATCAAGACAGCTATGCTTCCTTTCAAACACTTTCACATAAACTGTATTAGCGTTTCATTAAAGCTTCTGAAGACACCTATAAGAGAAATAGATATTCTCTTATTTCACAGATAAAGAAACTGAAACCAAAAGAACTGAGTGACTTGCCCTAAAAAGCTACTAGTACAGCTGATACTTAAAAACCAGGCCTTTGTTTTCACAACCCTTTACCATCACTCTCTATGCCCAATCCTCTAGTGCCTCAAATGAAACATTTCAATCTTTTTTAGAATCCTCTGCTGAATTCCCAAGAAATCTATAGCTGACTCATCACATTCAAAATAGAGTTCAAGAACATCTGCTTAAATGTCCATTTATATTATTTACTTCAATACCAAAGCCAAATTATTCTCAGATCCCTTTTCTCTTTAGAAGATTCCCTTCTTCCATTTAGGCAATCTTCTGATTCACAAGGCTCTTAAAATATCACTTCATCTTCAAATAGCCAGCAAGGAAAATGGAAAAGTATACCTTAAGGGACTGTAAACTCTTTTAACCATTTAGTAAAAATTTGTGTATTCAGTAATATAAATGAGATGAAAGGCCTGGTGCCTGCCTCTGCAATGATCTAGCTGATAAATACCAGAAGTACAAATATAAAACTAAGGAGGAACTCCATGTAACTTGGGTCACATCTAAGAAACTTAAAAATGAGAAAATTTAATTTACAGTTCACAGGGTCATCAAATATGTGTCTTTTGTATACTGAAGTCATATAATACTCTATTTTGTATAACGAAAGTGTAATAAACAGTAAATAACTAAAAGCACCTCTTTGACATGGTAATAATATAGTCCAAAAGACAATTATTAGGTCACATTTTTCAAATTAACAGTTCTTTTGGGGGGGGGGGAGCTTCTCTTTTATTCTAATTATTGCCAAGAAAGAGAATCTTACATTGGACTAACGCCCTGTCCAAAAACAATTATGAAAGATGGAGAAAACAGAGGCAGTCCTTGCTTTGCACAGTATCAGGGGACTGGAAAGGTGACCGTGCAAGATATAAATATACAAAGCGATCTTAAGAGTTAATGGGAAAAATTATGATTATTGTGATCTTTAAAAAAAAAGTCAAAACATAAAAATCTCTGATGACCATAAATTTATAGGAAAATGAAAGGATTAAGGCTAATATTTATTTAGTACACAGTAATTTAAAACATTACAAGCACAAAGAATTTAAGTGTTTTATTTCTTTGTAAAAAAAAAACAAAACACCATAAAACTTAAGCATGTTTGAATAGGGCTTACTTCCTTGATGTTTAACTTACAAGCAAGCATCTTTCAAAAACCATAATGAACTGTCAAAAGAGTTTGGATCAATATCTAAGACGCTATCATTTACACTTTGAGAGTCATGAAATATCTCTGTCCCTTTACTGAGTTCTTTGCCAGCATCAGTTCCTCTGGGATAAAATCATCGTTTCCGTGACAACCACTTTCTACATGTATGGGGAAAAGTTCACCTGCACTCCTCTCCTGCGGCTGTGATCTAAACTCTTTCAAATGGCAGTGGTGTCCACATTCTCACAGTCAGCTATGTCTTCTCTAATTCTATTACATTCTATTCAAATTTCGCTTTCAGAATTATCACTTTTTCTTTCTTTACTTCATTTTCACCTTTTTTGGGCCAATTCCCTCTTTCAATTATCCAGTGTTATAAAATGTTCTGTGGGTTTATCACTGGAGACAAGGAGGTAACATTAAATGCTTTGCTGTCTGTGAATGAAAATAACAGATGCGTACTGATGATTCACTGACAGGTATTGAAAACGTAAAGTGACTGATCATGATGCATATGTACTATTACGTAATGACTTACAGACTGAAGAGCTAGCAATAAAGTTTGTGCTTTATGCAATTATTCAGTTAATATATACCATGGTAAATGAAATTTGAACCATATTTTTGGGAAACTGGTATATTTTTCTTTTTTAAGTTGGGTTATAATTACCAAATAACATTATATTAATTTCAGGTGTACAACACAATAATTCAATATTTGTATATGCTACAAAATGATAACCACAAAAAGTCTAGTTATCACCAGTCATCATACAAAGTTACAAAAAGATTTTTCTTCCTTCTGATGAGAACTTTTAAGATTTACTCTCTTGGCAACTGGGAATGGTATTATTTTACTAAATCATGTTAACTAAAATCATGCATATTGGACTTCTGCAAAGCAAGGAATTCCTTGTACACAGAACTGTTTGAAGGCACTGGAGGGCAATCAGTGCAGGCAAGATTAAGGAGCTATGATTGCTTAAAAGAAGAAGAGTAGTGAATTGCAGATTGCCCTCAGTTTTTCCTTGAGTGTATTTCCTAGGTCCCAGCCAGGAGAGAGAACCCAAGCACAAAGCAAGTCTTACTGTTCTGACTAAACAGAAGCTGAAGTTCATACCCTACCCAAATGGGGGTACTTTAGTATGCAAACAGAGCATTCAATTGCAATTCCAGAAGGATCATGATTAGGAGGGGTAAGGGTACTTTTTCCAACAGCTAAACACAGGAAGTTTGTACTGCCCTGTTATGGGCAAAGCAATCAGTCTAATGCTGAAGAATCCAGGAAGAGAGATGTTGGAAGGGCACAACGTATGGGATGATTGAAGGTAGCTTCTTCGTAAAATTTTGTGTCTAGAGACTGGAATCTAAACTTGCACCACCAATCCTAAAATACAGCCAATTACAGAATTCGTTACTTCATACTTTATAAAGGGGTAGTCGGAAACCCCGCATTGCTGTATTTACCATTATGTAATCCCATCCAGAGCTGCTTGTGATCTTTTTTCTGCATTTCATTGATTACTTGACTTTTGTGCTTTAAAGCATCAGCTTCTTTCACACAAGACATAAAATGAGCTTCAACTGCATCCTTAGATGGACAGTGCAGAAGGTCCTTTTCTGGAAAACCCTATCGAAGGGAAAAAAATATATATACACATATAAGACAGTATAAAATTAGCTTCTTAAAGAGCTGTATCTCCCCAGACTTTCCAATATTTTTAGTAAACCATCTCTTACCTTCCCAACAAAGAGATTTTTAGTACAATTCCAAATACTTTTTAAATGAACTTAAACATATTTAGCTATATGGCATATTTTATACCTTTTCCAAATAATCTTTATATGATATGTGCATGACTGTTATTGCTATTTCACAGATTTTTTAAAAAGCTCAGGAAGTAGATAGTCATATAGCTTCCAAGTAGTGGAGCTAGGATAGTCCAACTAAGATTCCAAGCTCTTAACCACCATGCAATTCCACTTCCTCCATAACACTTAAATACTTAATGATTATATTCAAAAGTTATTTTACAGAAAAAGACGTTCTGTAAGTCCTTCAATAAAAAGAGACAATAATGGCAGAAAATCACATTTAGTCATAGCCTACTCTGTTACTTTATTAATAGGAAACATTCAATTTTTAAGCCATGGAAAGCTCCTAAATAATTTAGAAACTTACAATAAATGGCCCTCCCACCAAGTGAAAAGGCACTTGACTACCTATAGCAATTTCCTATTATAATCTTTAAATGCAAATAGCCCTATCTTCATTTATTCTCATAGAGTCTGATCTCATAGTTTCTGCTGAGGACAAGGTAAGCCACTATATAAACTACCCACTGGTCACAGTTGCCTGGAGCAGAAGGAAAGAGATGAGACAACTGAATTGTTTCTCTAGGTACAAAGGGGTCCCAGGTTCATGGTGCTCTTGCACTACAGGTCCATAAAGAGCTAAGGTGGATGCTTTCAGACACAGGAACACAAAGGCAAAAAACACGAGAAAATAAAAATTTCCTAAAAATGTAAAGGCAAAAGGAGAATATGAGAGGTAGAAAGGCAAAAGTGAAAAACAGGAGAGGATATGGGTGGTATGGAGAGAAGGTCCCTGCTGTAATCGACTTTACAATCAGATGTATTTCTTTTGCTTCAGATAGATTAAGGGGATTTGTCCTGGCTTCCTCATCAAAACAAAGAATTAAATGAGCGAGGTCTGTCCAGAAAGTATCCAGCCATGTTTGAAGAAGATACAGGAAACATTGTACAGAGGACAATGATGCCTCAGTCCCCTTCAAAGTAGGTACCTTGGGGACCTCACTCAGTTCTCCCAATCACTATCAGCTGCTCCTCCATATTTTCCTGAATCTCAATGAAGTTCTGAAATCTCTGCCCTTTCAAAGGTGATTTTAGTTTTGGGAAAAGCCAGAAGTTGCAGGGTGCCAAATCTGGGCTGTAGCGGGATGAGTCACCTAGATGACTTTGTTTTACTAAAAAAAACTGTGCAGGAGATGTGATACATGAGCAGGCTTGTTGGGATGAAGCTGCCAAAAACCAGTTGCCCATAGCTGTGGTCTTTCGAATCATCTAAATAGTTCCTGCAGAGGAGTGTTCAAGCTTAAAGCAAAATCTGATGCAGATTTGTTGGCTCTACTCACGCAGTCATTTTGAATGAGATGGCCACACAGCACACAGGCTCACTCAACAGCATCCACCACCCCCACTGCCCAGTACAGTGAAGTCGTCGTCGTTCATACGCGCACATTCCAGTCCACTCTCCTTGGCTGCCAGGTTACACCAATGTTGCACAAACCGTTCTCATTATATTAACAATGGTCGGACTTTTTCTGGACAGACCTTGTGTATCGTATCAATTCTATTCAAATTAATTAATATTATGACAGATATTTAAGAAAATTCTGACTTTGCTATACTTGATCTACAAATTTAGAATTAGCTCAGATATTGTACAGTTCTCTGTGCTAATTATGCACATTGATTATGAATGAGTGACGGAAAATATGAAAAGTTCATATTCCAAAGAAAATATTATTTTAATATGGTATGAATTTATGACCTATTAAGCTTAAGTACTGTTACAATTTGTTAAAACTGTGTACAGCTTATTATGGAAAAAAGGAGTTAGGATCTCTCAAAAGAGTTGCTTGGGAAGTTGAGTGGGGGTGAGGTGGAATCCCACCATTTGTAGTATCACTTCAAAGTAGGCTAAGCCCCTCAATGGCTCCTGTAACCAGATAAAGTACAACAGTTTTGCTTTTCCTAGATTTCCTTTGCTTTAAAGATTTCTCAACTGAACCAATGCTGACACCTATAATTCACAGCTAACAATTACAAATGACTAGTTTTTATAGCAAAAAAGGGAGATCAAAAAGTGCAGATATTTGCAAACCTACCCTTCAACAGAGAATGTTCTGACTCTATATAGGAAGGGGATGAACTCTTTCATGAAATAAACTCAGGGGAAACACAAGAGCAGTAACACAAAAAGGAGATATCTGATTAAGCAGCCATAGAAGTTGAATTGTGACAATGAATAAAGTGACAGATGTCTCAGTCAAAGCCCCCTCGGCTCCTACTCATGAAATGCTTCTCTTTTCCATGATTAGCTTGGGATGGGGATGGAAAATCTTTTTTCCCTAAAACTTCACAATAAAATTACAAGCAGACTCCTAATTCATTACATGTTTAATCTCTTCTTACATATATTAGCAGTTGTGTATTAGTGATTTATCTTTTTCAGTCCAAACAAATTCTTGTAAATAAAGATGAGTTTGACACCATGTTTACTTGCTTTCATTAATCTTCCATGTCAGAATGCCTGATAATCTAAATCTAATTTTACTTTTACAGAAATGATCAGAAAGGTTCCATTTACTTAGATATTACCTGTGTCCTTTAATTAAAATATTAATCCACACAGTCTGGAATATGTCCAGATACATTAGAGACCACCAAATAACACTAAACAACACTCATCTAAAACTATTTATAAGGTAACTGGGGAGGAAAAAAAGCCTTTCAGTCTACTAATAATGCTGCTAGCTCTATTAAGACAATGGAGCAAAACAACAGCAGAAATGCATTTTCCATATTATTAATAAAGTATCTAACTTCACAATGAAAATACAAAAGTTGCCAATAAATAAGTGTTGCGGACTCAGTATTTGTGTCCTCCCAATAGTCACATATTGAAGTCTCAACCCTCATAAAAGTGTGGCTGTATTTGGAGATGGGACCTTTAAGGAAGCAATTTAGTTTAAATGAGGTTGTAAGGGTGAGGCCCTGATCCAACAGGACTAGTGTCCTTAAAAGAAAACAGCAGAGCGCTCAGTCTCTCTTTCTGCATACCCAAGGAGAAATGGCCATGTGAGAACACAGTGAGAAGGTAATCATACAAACGCCAGGAAGAGAGTCCTTACCAGAAACCAAACCCTGCTGGGACTTGACTTGATCTTGGACTTTCCAGCATTCTGAATTACAAGAATATAAATTTCTGTTGTTTAAACCAACCAATATTTTGTTATGGCAATCCGAGCAACCTAACATATATAGAGCAATGTGATTTTATTGTTAATCTGCCTTTAACAGTGGACTCAGCATTCTGACAGGGAAAATATGAGGCCATAGTTTAAAGGCTTACTTTTATAAAATCTAAAAATGTTATTTCCAAAATCACTTTGTTGTGTATGTATGTGGAAATGGAAAGAGAGAAGAATTTTCAAATGTCCTCTGAAATATCATTTTCAGGATGAAAAAAATAATATACTACGAAAAAGATGCTAATAGACGTTAACTCTATCAATGCTAAAATCAGCACTAAAATTTTTAAAAACTTTCTTGATTTTCTTATATCTCCTAATATTACCAAGATCCAATCTATAAACTTACCTGCAACCAATCACTCCTTTCCTGATTCAATCTAAGGTATATCTTCCACCCTGTTTTTTGTACCTTTGAAACCCAGCTCAGTTAATTATTACCCTCTTTCTATAACATTATCTTTTACCACTTTTTTTCCTGCAATTACCATTTCCTATTTGTTGTTCTTAAAAACAAATCCAACAGCGAAAGTAAAAAACCAAACCCTTCCCTCAACCTCAACATCCCTCTGGCTAGAGTCCTCTCTCTTCCCTTCAGAGCCAACCCTGAAACTCAAGCAGCTGGCATTCAGCTCTTACCTAACCATGCAACCTGGCTGCTACCCTTATCAACTCCACTGAAATAGCTCTCTTCAAGGTCAAAAAGATACCTTTCAGTCCTTAATTGTTTAAATCCCTTGCCAATCCTCTAATAACATCTCTGACAATTCTCCTCGAAGCAGTCATCCTCAAATCTGTTACCACACTTCTCATTTCCTCTTATCTTTTTCTCACTCTCATTTGCAAGAGTCTATTCTGGGCCATGCATTAAAAATGTTGATATTTTTCTGTTCTGGATCTCTTCATTTTTTCATTCTATATACTCACCTTGAATTAAGTCTACCTACTTCCATGCCATGAATTAATGAGTCTCAGTCTCTGTCTCCAACCAAGATCCTTCTCATTACCCTAGAACCCATAACCCATTAATCAAGTAGATACACATTTGGTAGGCATATGAAACCAAACAAGTCCAAAAGTAAAAAAATATTTTCCCCCTTGACTCTTCTTCTCCCTGTCTCCCACATCCACTTCAAGTTCTGTTGAGTCTCCGTCCTAAGATCTGAAGCCATTCACTTTAAACATTCCCAGGGCCACTTTTCCAGTACAAACTAACAACTATCTGACCTTTCTGAAAACCTAACTGGATCCCACACATAGTCTTACACCCTTTAATTCATTTTTCACATTTGGAGTCACAGTGATCTTCCTAAAGTGCAAATCTGGTCTTCTCACTCAGCTATTCGACTCTACTTTTAGGACATAATCAAACTTCTTCTTAAACCCTCCAGTTTCCTGAATGACTTACATCTCTATTAACTTCTCCAGCATAATCTCTCACTCCCATTTCACATGCTTCATTCTTTCCTGACTCCCTTAAACACACTTCTCCACTCCAATGATCTCGAACAGCTGCTGCTCAAACATTCTTTCAGCCATACTCTCTCATCTCTGTGCCTTTGCACAAACTACT